TATCGCGTCCCGTTGGGACGCGACAATCGATCCCCGAATCGGCGCTCTAACTCCACCAGCGGAGGTGGTAGTAAGCGCCGCCGACAAAAAGCGGCAGAAGTCGATTTTGCCGCCGTCCTCACAACGGGGTAAGTCGGCTGCAATACGTCTAATTCAGCTACGCTATTCACGTAGCTGAATTTGCGTATCTTAAATCGACTCCCCGCTGTAGTGTAGATGTACCCTTAGTTAGCTAGTTAATTCTCTACTGAAGAATACACAGTCTTAGTGATGGTGGCGAGAACCCTGTTCTAACACATGTGAAATAATAAAGGTCAAGTATCAGGGGGTAGCCGTGTTAGTCTGTATCTACAAAAACAACGAGTCTGGTGATACCTTAAAGACTAACAGATTTATTTGGGCATAAGCTTTCGTGGGTAAAAACCTCACTTCTTCGGACTGCTTGTGCATCCGAAGAAGTGAGGTTTTTACCCACGAAAACTTATGCCCAAATAAAACTGTTAGTCTTTAAGATGCCACCAGACTCCTTGTTGTTTTAATGAAGGTCAATTTACTGCAAAATGAAGAGAGAGATTTTTAACTGTGCCTAGTGTGATGGGAAGGGGGACATGGTAAATTATCCTGTATCCAGAATTTTGCTGTGCAAGGCCCACTGCTTGTGTAGTTTTTTATTAAATGTAACTATGTGCTGACATTTGACAGGTGTGGAGCTGCTCTGTAATAATATATGAATACTGTCGAGCTGGTTATTGGGAAGTTCACTGTGGTTAATTTAATAGCAGGCTGTAAGAGAAACAAGCAGGATGGAAGAAGAATAGTTCAAGATAGGCCACCCCTCTGCAAACACTTGAGACTTGTCGCAGGACAGAGGCAGAGCCAGAGGCCCTGAGAAGTCTTTTTATAGGAAATGCCGATATTTCAAAAATAAGTTTTTTCATTCCGATTCGGAACAAAAATGAGAAAATTCAACATGTCCTGTATCGAGGAGATTCTGAAAAATGTTGTTTTGGAAAAATCCAAACATTGGTTTGATTTCTCTGAAACAAAATGGAGCATCTGGCTACCCTGACTCCCAGAGACTCCTTGAGTTGCCCCTGACACCCGGAAACTCACTGGGCTTCCCCTGATATAGAGTGGCTACCCAGGAGACCGTAGGGAGCCACAGTTGTGCCGCTGTAAGGGCTGTAGCATAGACACGGTTGCACCTTCAAGGCTGTATCTTCACTAGGAAAAAGATGTGTTCTTAGCTTGGGCTAATTAGCTCGAGATACAATCTTAGTGAAGACAAGACAGTTTGTAGTTTTCACAAGCCAGGGAAATCCCTAAGCTGCCCCATAGTCCTTATTGTGACCTGCTAACTCATGTGAAAACTACAAACTGCCTTGTCTTCACTAGGATATTACCTTGAGTTAGTTAACTCAAGTTAAGAACACACGTTTTCCCCCTAGTGAAGACAAGACTATTCCTGTGACGAGATAGAGATTTGAAGGAATTTGGTAAAGAGGGGTGTATGATGTTTGGTTCTAGTCCTCCCAAATAATATTTAATTCAGAGCAACTGAGGGTTATTATAGTCATCTTGTATTTCTGTTCCCTCTCTGAAACTGCCTTCATGATATCTGGAGCACCTACTATTTTGGGTATATTGGGAATGTGAAAAGTTTCTTACCTGGCAGGTCTTGATTTTAGGGTTTTCCCCTCTAGCACTCATTGGCATCACTAATACTTAAATTGGAGTAGGCAGTTCTATTCTTTGTCATGCTTTCAGCATTATTAAGGCTGTTTCTAGTGTGGCATGGAAAATGAATATCATACACTCACTTTTCAGGAGGTAAGGAAAAGGAATGCTGACTCTTATTTTTCTTTAAATAGTATGTATGTATCATTTTATGTCAACAGATATTTTCTCTGAAGGGGTTAAAAATAACTGTTTTCCATTCACCTTTTGAAGGTGCAAGCCTCTTGTTGTAAACAACACTGTTATTTTGGAGACTAAATTGAAATGCTCTATATAATCCAATCATTCGCATGAAATCTTTCTTCCTAAAGTCTCTCCAAACCTAAGATCTATTCTCAGGAAAATCATGAACCTCTCAAGAAAGCACTGAAGTGGGAAGATTAGTTGGATATAGCTTTGGAGTGGAGATTTTAAAGTTACTGCAAGGTAAAATGAAGCAGATACTATAGCCTCTAAAAGCCAAAAAGAAGATTAAGTCTTGGGGCTTTTTGGGTAGATTTTAAATCTCTGGTGAACAGTTGATTGCTGCTCTAAAAATGATCTTATTATGAAGACAATGGGGAAAAAACATCTCATTAAGTTTCCACTAACAGATGCAGTTCCAACAAACACTAAGAGAAATGTAACCCTAGGAATGAACAGACCATGTGTTCCGAGAATGTTTGCTAATGGTTGCTAACACCACTTCCTGTTCCCGCGCCAGGAAACACAGATAGAGAAATTCCTGCAGTTGCAATGAAGATAGAAATGGAAAACGAACCAGTTGCAAGGAAAGGATAAAGGTGATGATAACCTTCTCCCTAAGATGTTTTGTAGGGTGCGCTGTGTGTGTGTACTGATGCATGTTAAACCCACTTCCCATAAGTTTCTTTGCATAAACCTGCAGCTTGTAAATTACTTTGTAATGTGCAGTAATTAACTTCAGAAAGGGAGACGGGGGGGAGGGAATGAAGCCCCCAGAGCATTCACAATCCAATCATGTCTCCCTTGCACCTTTTCAGACTGATTTATTTGGCGATGTTTCTAGGTTGAATGTGCTTCCAAATACCAAACCTTTAAAGCTATAGGTTTTCTAAAGGATCATGAAAAAGAAGGCTTTCATCAGAACAGCATCTCCCCCCCCAACAGTTCAATTGTGTTTAGATCAATCCACCCACTCCTATATAAATATCGAGTCCCATTGTACAATATGTCGCTGCAGGAAATCAGGGCTCTTCATCCTATTCAGTCTCTCCAGCTGCTAGTCATTGAAATCTGCTTTTGTAAATATGGAAGCCCAGAAACCACCCCTAAGTGACATAATTCACAAGTGACTAAACTTGGCTATTTTCAATAGTCTCTACATTATTTACAAAAGTCCCTGTTTCGTCGTGAAAATTAAACCGTGGAGGAGCCTAGGTCCCTACGGTTCCCATTTTGAAGTGGTGGTTCGGGACCTGGCCTTTCCTTTCCTTAGAAGACACTAAAAGATGAAATCCCAGAAGAAGTGGTGCAATTACAAATTGCTGGAGGTTGAACGTCCATTCCAAGTGTCTGATCACACAACTCAGTTTAGCCCTTGGATTTATAGACACAAGCACCACATTTAACAGCCTTCTCACATGTAACTGAAATACTGAACCGCTGTCTTTTATCCCTAGCCTGCTGCCTGGCTACATATTTTATTTTAATGACAGGTTTCTGAGTCCTGTGGAAGAATCTTTTCTTCCAGGTGTAAATCACAGTGGCTCTTTCACACAATTATCCCATCATTAGGCAAATACGCTGCATATTTTCTTAAAAATAAATAAATAAGGGTGGAGGAGGGTCTTTGAAGGTAAACACCAAACTGCTCCTAGGCTGGTTGCTAATTCAGGGCTAATTAGAAGGGCAAACGGGTATTTATTTAAATTCCTAACAGGTATAGGTGCCCATCCTGTGCTGTAGGAACAGATCCTATGAATTGAAATCATACACCAGTGCAAAAGAAGTGACTCCATGATGCCCACCTCAGCTCAGCCACTCCTCAACGGCCTTAGAAAAGAGAGAAGAAAAATGGGAATTGCTTAGAATGCTAACGAACTTGGGCTCTGATAGACCAAGCTCCAAAACTAAAGGCCTCCTGCAAAGATCATAATGGCAGCAGCTCCATCTTGACTATCCAGCCCGACGGCGTCACCGATCTGAGCTGTGTCACAGGGCAGTTGGTCAGGTAAGCAGGTTCCAAGCGGTAGAGGTTAAAACCAAGAGCTGGAAATTAACCCAGAAGCTTTTTGGAAGCAAGTGCAGAGCTCAAGGAGTGCCGGTCCAATGTGCTGCCAATATGTAACTCCACTTAAAAAGCAGACTGCAGCATTCTGCACCAGCTGCAGGTTTCCAATGGTCCCATTGTGTAGCCCCCTCAAGAGCGCATTACAGCAATCTAATCGTGCAGTGACAAAGGCCAGGCTAATTGTAGCAAGAGTGGCATCAAAGAGAAAAGGTCACAGTCATCTTGCCGGGGCAAGGTAGGAATAATGGTTCATGTCCCTAGCTTTATAACAAGAAGTACTCCAACCCTTTTCAGCACATAGGCTCTGAGTTGGCAGGGCATATTGGATATACTTAATTTAAGCATGAGTAGCTCTATTGGAGTTAATATTCACGTACTTAAAGTTAAGCATCTGCTTAAGTGCCCCTCTGAATCAGGGCCATATTCATGGTTACAGAATTTGTGTCAGACTTCAGATGGTTATTAAGTACAGAAGGTGATGTCCTTTTTACAGTAGTACACCGCTCTTTGAGGTAAAGTGTAATCTCCTTTGCAGAGAAGTTGAAATTGTATTGCCACCGTTAAGCAATCCTATAGGAGGTCATAGTACATACACAAATACTAGACATATGTTTTTTTTAGTAACGTAAGTGCGAAAACCTTGCACAAGGAATATTTACTATCATGCTTAACAGGAGTCATGGGCTGGCATAAGAAAATTGAATTCATGGTCAAGAATGCTTCTAAATAATCCTTGGTTGTCCCCTGTCTGTGGCCTTGCTGTCAACATTTTGGGTTTAGTAAAAGAGAATATATCTGATCTCTCCCCCACATTTGCTAAAATTGCATTAACACCCCAGAGATGTGTAGCATCTTTGGGGGCTGGTAAGAAAAATGCAGATGTTCAGTCAACTGTTGTTGCTACCAAGTACCATTGTAAATATCATTGTAAGTGTGCCATATTCTTTTGATGACCCTCCTCTTGTCATTAACCCTTTAAAAATAGGATTCTGCTGTGTTTTTTCTTGTGTGATGGAATATTTTAATACAAATGAATTACAGTACAATGCAAAACACACTTTAAAAGGTCGTAATTGTTGTGCCAATGGAAATTCTTAGACCAAACTTGTTATTTATGATCATTTAAAACACACTATCATTGTATAAAAGCCATTTATTGCCTAGTTTGATTACTTAATCCTCTAACTCTTACATTTAGATATGTTGAGCTAAATGCAGTTCCCATATAAACACTGCATTTATACTCGAGTGAGTCCTTGGAGTTACACCAGTGTTAAACTGGTTTAAGTGAGATAAGAATTGCTCCTTGTGAAAAAAGTCAGACCTAGTTATATGGTAGTTTTGTTCTTCTCTGTGATAAAAGCATAAAGTGTTCACTACTCTGAGAGCATAAAAGGATAGTTGATTTGTCAATGGTAACATTTCTTGTAAGGTAAGAGAGCTTGCAAACAGGTTACACACACACACACACATACACATGTGGTTGTGTCTATATCAGCTCACTGTATGTGTGTATGTGATCTGTTTGTAAACTCTTTACAGTTGGCTTTAAAAGAAGTTACATACACACAACATTCCCATGATACTCTGTATGTTAATGAACTGAAACATAGGTACAACTTTTGCTCTTAGTGACACCAGCTGAATCCCATTTGTTTCACTTGGATTGTGCCAGTGTCATTGAGAGTAGAATCTGGCCTTATGTGTATGTGTCTATATACATACACCTGTATACCTACAGCCTCAACCTTGATGAACCACTGGGTACATGACATTCTTTGACTATTAATTAGAATGACGATGCATACCAGTCACTGTGCAGGTCTTTCTCTGCAAAACTGGGATTACAGAATAGAAGTATGCAGCTCTGTAGTAAATCACATTTTTTGTACACGTAAAGTATCAAGTCAATTAGTAAGTTTAAACAGACATTTTCATGTAGCTCTTATAACAGCGCCTCATTGCTAATTAATTGCAATTTAAATTTGTCACCAGTGACCACTGCTGAGTAAATGGCACCATCCTCCATCCATGCTTCTAATTTTTCCAGCAGTATGCCAAAAGCATGGGATGAAAATGATTGTGAGCATTAAAGTAACCATTCTTATAAAATTGTGATTCCTGCTTTTCAATTTGTTACTCATTTTTTTTGCACCAAAATGGGACTGATGTTATCCTCTCATAATTAGTTTCCATGCCACAGTGGCATTTTTCCCCCCCAATGATCCTTTTGGGTTGATACATTGGTTAATGCAGCTTTTGTTGTTGTTGTTGTTGCTCAAGAAAGTTTAAACCAAGTTACCTCATTCTTAAGTGGTCCATTTAGCAGAACTGGGGCCTGAAAATCTGACCAAGAGACACTAGAACAGTGATACTCAGACTGTGACTCGCGAGCCACAAGTGGCTCTTTAAGGTGTCTCCTGCAGCTCTTAGCAGCACATGATATTAAAACACTGTGATTTAATTATTAACCAATCTAAGTTATTTACCAATCAAGATGTTTTACTATGTTATTAACCAATTAAGTTATGAACTTCCACTAAGTCAATAACTTATTTACTGTGAGAATAATATATAAAAACTAAGTATTTCCCCTGCCGTACTATTTAAATATTTTTAAATTAATGGAGATATCCTATCTCCTAGAACTGGAAGGGACCTTGAAAGGTCATCGAGTCCAGCCCCCTGCCTTCACTAGCAGGACCAAGTAATGATTTTGCCCCAAATCCCTAAGTGGCCCCTAAGTAATATGAAAATCCCTAAGTAATATGAATAGTACTATAGTAAATGAAACAATGAATTCACACTATGGTGGATCTTTTGGGTAATGTTGATCACTAATTTGGGTCCTGAGTCACTGAGGTCTGAGTATCCCTGCACTAGAACATCAAGAATGCTGGTTAACAGGATCACGGAAGAGATGCTAAAAGAGATGCATGTTTGGCTTACGGTCTTTACCAGAAATATCTTCCATTACGTTGCCACATGTTTCCAGTAACAATAAAGCAAAATGGGTCTGTAAAGTAAATTGATTTCCTCATTGTGGCCCTCAAGTAAATATATTAACATTTCTACATTTGATGCCATGATTTTCCAAATACAGGCTACAGTTCCACCAGATGTACAAATTAGAGATTATTGTCAAGGCAAATGCCATTGTACCTTGATTGAATGGGTCAGTGATGAAATTTGCATACATATAGAGTTAAACAGAGGTTTCTACTATCTGCAATGCATTTCTTTTGTATGTATCTCTGTACATAAATTAAACATAATAATGCTTTATCTTTTGAATTCATAAAAGGACTTTTTATTTACATCTACTCTAATATACATACAGCATTTTTTTTCCCTGCAAGGAATTTTTTCTCTTAATACTGAGACTCCAAATATTATTTAAAAGGGGATTGGATCCACCTAACAGCGTAAGGAAATAACATTTTATTGCACAGGTTTTCTGGCTCATGCTAGTGCTATATATCAAAGCAAAACTGTATTAAACAAGGCTTCCCCTTTGTGGTTTTAGACAGCTTGCGTCCTCCATGTACTCCTTGTTTCTCTGAGTGATCTGTCATAAGGTAGAGTAGCAAAAAAAGAATTTTTCAACTGACAGTTAATAAAGAGCACAATTATTATCACAGTCAAAAGCAGGAAGAAAAACAGAACAACGTAAGTCACCAGATCTGGCTTATTTATTTCCCCTTCTTTTAACACCCTGGCTGTTGACATATAAAACGCGGAGGAGCTTACTGGTCTCTGCGTGCTGTTCAGGTAGGGGGTGTTGGTCTGAATGATTAGGTGAGCTTCAGTGGCACTGGTTGAATTTAACAATTCACTATACATGTTCTTGCTTAAATTTTCTTCCCCTGTAGGTGTATCAGAAGGGAGCAAAAGTGTCAGTCGTTGGTGTGGGAAAGGACTGTTCCCATTTGTAACGGGCTGAAATCCAGCCACATACTGTATAAACGTAAATGCAGCAATTCAGTTCACTTACAGGGCTCAGTGAGTTTGCTTCTTTCAGTCTCCCTGGATCACATTTACATCATTAATCCTCAAATAGTAATCAGAAAAAAATGTGTAAATATATATCTATATATATACCTCTTGTTCGGGCACTTGCTCTCTCAGACAAAACCAGGGCTTATGCCAAATGGACTGGGTCTTCTGTGTGAACTGAACTGGTTATCTGGGATGAGTTGACAGGATCTTCTTAATTTTCCTGGGATTGGAATGTGGCAGCCTCCCGTGCATAGAAACAAGACTCTCCTCTTTAACAAAACCCTGTACTGTAAGCCAAACAGAGAAGAAGAAATGCTTTGTATAGCAGCACTTGCTTGTTTTGAAGGGAAGGCACAACAGATTTCCAGGTGATTATCTGAAGAGCGATGCACACAAATCCAGTGTTAAATAAGGTCCACGTCCACCAAAAGAAGCAGCTTCCTCTTTGACATCTAGTTGAATTCGCAGTTGCAATTCCCTCCCTCTGGGAACTCCTCACTGCTGGAATGCTGGTTCTTTGTAGCATTAGTTGACTTTCTTGATCTGTTAATTGTGCACTGTGCAGCTAGCACTGAGAAGCTTTCGCTTTCTGGATTCGCTTTTTCAGTTGCTTTAAAGAAAAAAAAAGCCTCCTTTGTTTAAAACAAAAATAAGTTCTTAGCTCTGTCGAAGCCTCTTCCTCACCCCTGCTCCAGCTAAGCTGTTAGCTGGAACTGGGATCTGGGCATAAATATGTGAAACGTGACTTTTCCCTTTAAACAGACACTCCACCACAGCGTCACTTGCTACTATGTGAAGGGAAGAATTACACAGTGGTGCTGAATGCTTCTTGCAGTGACTTGATGCTAAAAGGGAAGAGATCTCATGATAGATCCTCATGAGTTTCAAGGCTCTGGGTGGAAAGCTAGACATGGGGAGGAGGGGTCGGAAACAAAGCAAAAGTAAATTGCATCAGAGTCTCTCTCTCTCTCTCTTCCTTGGACTTTTGTTATTAAAATGGGTCTCTCTAGGGTAAATAAGAAAATGTCTTTTTTTTTCTACATAGTCCCCAGCACCCTCTACACCCTGACAATTAGCATGTTAATTCTTTTTCATCAAATTACTTATATACTGCCATTAGCTGCTGGCTGGCTGCCAGCTCCCCTTAGCAATCCCTCACTTCAATACATCAGATAAACATGGGTATTACTTTATTGTAACCATCAGAACTCAAAAATGGGAAGAGGGAGCATTTGTTATCTTGAGAGAGGACACTATGAACCACTCTCTTCACCCTCAGGACACGGATACAAGCAATCCTTAGAGTAGCTTATGAAGATTTTTTTATCACATTCCAATTCTGGATGGTTAAGCGTTTTAATTACCATAATAAAATAATTCTGCCTTAAAAGAGAAGAAATGTAAAAGGAGGAATCTTATGTACAGTGATTTTTTTAAAAAGTTTCTGTTCAGGAAAAGAGATTGGTTTAGGCCCTGATATTCATTGAGGCACTTAAGCACCTGCTGAACTTTAAGCACCTGGATAAGCCCATCTACTTCAATGGGACCTCTTTTGTACTTTAAATTAGGCACATGCTTAAGACTCTTTGTACACATACCCCTCACTCTGGCCTTGAGTCAGCAGTCTGTCTCTTTTCAGTAAAGCACTTAAGCATGTGCTTAACTTTCAGCCTGTGTTGAAGGCCCATTAACTTCCCTGGGACCAGCACTTCCACAGGAGGCCCGTGCTGCTCGAGGGTGTATGGACATTAGTCTTTATTTATCCATTCAGGGGTGAATCATTTCTTTTTCTACATTGCCTGTTTTGAAAAAGTGCTAAATTTCTTTCTCTATTGTGTTTGCCGCCCAGGAGCCATAGACAGGTCATCCAGAGGGGCCAGGGCATGGGCTGAACACCCCTGGTTCCAGCACCTACGCTCTCCCAAGTAAACAGCATTGTAGGGGAATGCATTTGCTCTCCCTGGTCAGCTCTTCTCAACCACGGGCCTGATGGACTGTGTCCTATCTGCTAATTTCCTCCTATCTAGCGCGGTAGGAGTTGAACTGAACTCTGCCTAGCTGCCTCTTTCTCTCTCTAAAAAAAAAACAAAAAACGAGCTGGAGAAATGAGAGACACCTCTGGGGCGCCGAATTAGACAAATGAAATGGAGAAAGTTTTAATGCTGCATCAGTCTGAAAAAGTATTAGTTATAAATAGCTCCTTTAAAAAATGTTACCAAGCCTGTAAAAAAAACAAAAAAAACCCTAGCACAATGCACAAGTGTAAACGTCATAACAGTGGGAAACAAAAGTAATGGATGCATTTTAGTCCAGTTTAAAAATGTGTTTTCATGGCTGTTTTGAGGTGTTCTGCTTATTACTCAGAGGCATAAGGTGGTGGTAGAGGTGGGACTTGTCCAGCACTGCCTCAGCTGCTGTCTGTCTCTTGCATGCAGCATGCCAGGGGGCAGCTCAACAGGTGCATTGTGGGACTGCACCAAGAAGACCAGTTGCACTCCTGCCTCAGCAAGCTCAGTGTTTGCTCGCTACACTGTCTGGCGGACCCCAGTGCTGCGTGCTTGGCGAGTCAAAGCGGTGGTGTGAACCAATATAAGCACTTTCTGTGTGGGCCCCAAAGGATGGCACAGAGGGTGGTTCATATAAACAAGCTTTGTGTCCTGAGAACAGGGTCGGCTCCAGACACCAGCGGAGGAAGCACATGCCTGGGGCGGCACATGCTAAGGGGCAGCATTCCGTCCATTCTTGGGGTGGCACAGTCCAGGTGGCTTTTTTTTTTTGCTTAGGGCGGCAAAAATGGTAGAGCCGGCCCTGCCTGAGAATGGCGTGCGGGAGCTAACTTCTCCCGGGGCCCGGCCATTGCCTGCAGGTGTTCTGGCATGCACAGAGGCACGTAGCCAGCCAACATGGTTCCTTTCGCTGCTACAAAATTGTATCTTAAGCTCTTGGAAGCTTTCTTTGCCCTACAGACATAACAATTTAGCTACAGTGTTAAGAATTTGCATTCAGAGCCGTTGTTAATTGTTGTGGTCCAGCCACCCAGCAGCTGGCATTGGAATGACATCATTAGCATATTTTACAAGTACCTTGAACACACTGAGTAAGCGCTTGCTGCTGCCTTTTTGGCCGAAATATGATATAGGAGTTAATAAGAAGCCTGGGAGTAAGTCAGTCATGTTTTCAGCTAAAGCCAGTAAATTTAGGCTTAATTTCAAGACGGCTAATTTGCCCTAAATAATTCCTTAATTACAAAATTAAGAGCTGATCCTTTTCCTTTATTATCCTTAAGGAGGGTCTGGTTCAAAGTCTGTAATTTTTTCCTCATGCGCTCATCTCTTGTTTGGTAATGTTTTTGAATTCCCATAAGTAGGATTCTAAAATGTCTGGGAAAGATGCACCGAAGGCATGTGTATGGACCCTAACACCATTGGAGGGTTGTCTTGTTATGCTTAGCCCTTTTCATCTTTAAAACTCAGAGCTTTACGAAGCTGGCAAAGCATTATTATTCTCATTTTAATGGCTGGGCCATAGGCGCCGACTTCCCCTCTGCCCCGTGGGTGCTCGACCCCGCCCCCCGCCCCTGCACAACCCTTGCCCCGCCCCAATTCCACCCCCTTTCCCAAAGTCCCCGCCCCTGCCCTGCCTCTTTACTGCCTCCTCCCTGAAGCGCGCCACATCCCCACTCCTTCCCCTCCCTCCTGGAAAGTCCTAATTGCCACCAAACAGCTGTTAGGTGGTGCGCTGGGAGGGAAAGGAGCGGGGATGCCACACTCACGGTGGGAGGAGGAGGTGGCTAGGAGGGTGGGGGGAGCGTGGCTGCCGGTGGGTGCGGAGCCCCCACTAATTTTTCCCCGTGGGTGCTGCAGCCCCGCGAGGTTCAGGGCTAGGGTATGAACTGGATCATGTCCCCATGCAAAGCAGTAAGCCTCCACTCTGCACTCTTGCATGAGCTACCCAGATCTTGGGTGCCTGCCTATTTCTTTTCGCTCCCTCAAGAACTCCACCAACCCATTACCCTCTGGCCTGGTATAGGGGGAAGCCTAGGGCAGCAGCAAATTACTACCCCCTGGAGCAAGGCGCAGATGGGGGGAATCCTGACTCAGGGATGTGGTGTCACCGTGACTGGTACAGGTTGCAGCATTGCCTCTAAAGCAGGGGTACGCAAACTTTTTGGCCCGAGGGCCACA